AACAGTTGCCATAATACAAGTATTACATAGGTGATTATCCAAATTTTTCACTATCGATGAGATTTGAACACCTAACCTACCACTTGGGGGGTTGACAACCTGACCACTTCACTAGGTCACCACACCCCTTACTTTTATTTTTTAATTTTTATAGATTTATATAATTACAAGAACTTTTTTGTATTTATATTATTTAATGTTAGTTTGTATTTTTCTATATAACCAGTTATATAAATGTCTTATAATCTGTTAATTATACTAATATGATTATAATTACAATATTTTAATCTAATTATTAAAAACAGTTATTATAATATAGATAAAAATTTAAATTTTGTTATTAATAAGTTTTGAACTTGTAACTTACTATTTGAAAAATTGATAACTTATTTATTTTACTAAATTACCATATTTCTGTAATATTAGTTTTAATATTTCTCTATATATATATATTACATTTTATATAGATGTTTTGAGTTTTTATTTAAGATAATGCAATTTTAGGTTACAAATATATTAATTTTAAATTTTTATTAAAAATATATCAATGAATTTAAATTTAAAATTTTTATAATAATAGTAAACATGCAATTATTATATAATAAAAAATTGATATTAGCAAATATTGTATACAATCATTTGTATACAGAATCTTGCTAGCATTAGTATATAGCAACTTTATACATAATTCTTTAATGTTAAAGCTTTTTTTATTTTGTAAATTAATAATAAATTATGTAATCTTCTAATGCTTATGCCTATTTTACTTTGCAAGTTGCATTACCATTATATGACTTGTAATCAACGCATTTGAACATCTAATAAACTATTTTTTAGTGGTCACAAGCAATGTATTTGAGTCCAATTACGACAAGAACTGAAGCAAAAATAGTAAATGGCTAAGTTTTACACTATACTAATAAAATATTTGTACACTACACAAATTGGTTAATAACGTAAGCAAGCATAGTCACGTGAGCATAATATGGGCTGCCGTCAATAGAATCAGGCAGATTGACATTTTAATATCTTAACTTTCACAGCTCATATTTTAATGAATTTTGAAGCTAGTTTAATTATCCAATAGCCAAAAGAAAGCTTAGATTTCAAGCTTTCTTTTGAGATATGAGCAATGAAAATTAAGATATTAAAATGTCAATATGGCTGATTTCTATTGATGGCAACCCATATAACCATAGATTACACAATTAATAAATTAGGATAGCAAAATTAAATAATCCTTAGCCTAATATGCTTAACTTTATGTAATTCTTATCAATAAAATAAGCTAGCAGGAACAAACTTTCAAACCAAATTAATGAATAATATTTAATGAATGTGAAATACGTACCAGTAATGTACGTATGTACAGATGTAGTAATTTTTTTTTTTAACAATGACTATCGCTGTACGTACGTATGTACATACAGGGTTTATCCGTTGGCGATAAAAAATATACAGCATTTAATGGTTTTTTTTTGGGTGGAATATTTTCTTATGATTTTGAATTTTTATCTGTTATTATCCTTGCGTACATACTGTATGTATGTTTGATATACAATTGATTAATTGAAAGGACGTGTCCCAGATTACTGCGCTAGTCTAATATTACCAATATTACGCAGGCGAGTGGCCAATCAGTAAATACTTTATAATGCAGAAATACACGATTGGTCGATCCGAGTATTGTTGTTACCATTTTAGAAAAGGTGTCAATTTTTCTAATTTAAAAGATCTCAGAGTTAGTACTTCGAAGGTAAGGTTAAATTCAATAGAGTAATTAAATAGAGTAATTTAATAGAGTAATAATTCAATAGAATAATTCAATTGAGTAATTCATTGAGTAATTCAATATAGTAATTCATTGAGTAGTTCAGTAGAGTAATTTAATACGTTTAATACGTAGAGTAATTCAATTGAGTAAAATAGTACATATTAGAATGCATGTGGCGTTATCATAATCTATAATATCGTGTATTTTAGAATCAAATTCAAGCATATTGATCGGACAATTCAGCAATTAATGAAGGATTTAAATTGGTGCACAACTTTATATATAAGTAAGACAATGGATCAACTACGCAGACTAACGCTTTTAAACGACTCCTTGCACCCATTTCTTTTTTTTCTATATATATAATTATTAGTGTATCAAGCATTCATTCATTTTTATTAATTCTGAACGTCATAGACGTAGGCTAACTTTCTTTGGATTGGTCGGTTTTACTTAACCAGTTGTATTTTTACTACCCAGAGTATTTCTTAAGAATATAACATTTCACAAATGAAAAAAAAAAACAAAAATTATGTCCGTTCTACGCAGTAAGTATGTCTTTGAAGGGGAGTTATCATTTTATTGCTTACTCGTTTGCTTACTTGCTTACGTAGCAGGTGAATTTCTATATAATGATAAATTGAATTCCCATGTTATAATTCATAACTATATATATATATGTAATAATTACTAATAATTAATGTATACGGATACTGTTAACTTGTTTAACAAATTTCAGAATCTTGCCATTTGACGATATCGATAATTTGATTAGTTGATCGTCACATATTAATTGGCTCATATATAAAATATAATATATGTGTTGTATGAAACACGAATTTATTTGTTATATTAGCGTTATCTGTTATTTGCAATTTATTTATTTATTTATTTATACGGGTATTTATTCATTCATCAGATAAAAAAAAAAAGTTTATAGATTTGTCCTACGTTAGCATTATATCAATTCGTATTAGATATTATTAGAATTGTTAGACATTTCTTGCCATGGAATTCTTTCCAGATGCAGTAAAACTAGTGCATATGCCGGGGACAGCAAATGCCGAACATTATTTCATTACACAAAGGCTCTATCGAGTAAGCTCATGCTCAATTAAGGACACTTATGTTCTCTTAATTTATCGTTTTTTTACCATCGTTAATAAATAAAACGTTTTGGCTATTTTCTTTTCCTTATATTATATCCTCTAAAAAGATCGTGTATGCATCGCTTTGAACTTCAATGATTCAAGGCATCATGTTTATGTAATTTTGTATACGTGGTCTTGAACGAACTTTACAAATCTTCACGAAAACCTTTGAAAGGTCTCTTTTTTTTTTACGTATACAACTTTTAAAATTACCCTACTTAAAACTTTTCTACAATATTTAGAGAGGTTGTCTTAATACGCTTATTCCTTTCTCCTTCTCCTTTATTTTTATATATATATATAACATTGTGAATACAGTAGATACATTAGACTCTGCTGTAAAAAAGAAAAAAAAAAAAGTGTTTAGATCTTTATAACTGGACTACTCTTCGACGACAAAATTCGCTTTTAATCATTAGTGTCACCACCTAAAGAACAATAAGACAGGTTCTTTCTGTAATAATTGGAACTATAATAATGTATTCAAAGACTTTGGCTATGCTACTACGATCAAAAACTTCAATACACTTTATTCTAGTAATATTTTTCTTCCAATTTGTCTTTAGTGACAATCAGAATCATACACAAGATGATTCCGTTTCAACTTTGACTATACCTTTAATTCAATGGAAATATTTAGAAATGACCGGGGATATGCCTCAAGGGTTAAAGGATTTTGGTTTCGGTTACAATAAACTGGCTAATAAATTGATCGTTTTTGGCGGAACGTATGTATTTTTTTATTTTATTATGATTAATTTTTTTTTAAACAAAAAAGAGAAAAAAAAATTGAATGGATTAAATTTTAGCTTTAAAATATATACATCTTCTTTATAGCACACAAGACAATTCAAAATCAAGTGCCACCTATATAGCTGATCTTAATGCTATGACTTGGTCATCTTTACAAACTGCCCAAAGACCAGGTGCTAGATCAGATATGATATATGGAATGGATATTTATGCTGGTTATCGGAATACTTTTGTAATAACTGGTGGTAAAGGTGACGGTGACATAGTATATAATGATACTTGGGCATTTGATATAACTTATAATACTTGGTCTCAAATAACAAATGTAATTTCGACGAGTGGTCCCGTACCTCAAATATATGGTGCTGTTGGAGGAATTGATACTTCTGTACAAGGTGGAAGTCAAACTATTCCAAACACTACTATGTGGTTAACTCATGGAACTAATGGAAAAGATTTTTTTACTGACATTTGGGCCGTGGTGTTTGGTGGAACTTTGGCTACTTCTGGTAATTTCTTAACTGTTAGTTGGACAAAGATTTCTACTGCTGGACCACTTCCTCCAGGTACGTAAATGCGTAATTCTTTGTATATACAGTCAACTCTATATAATGAACTAGCGATTTTCGTTTTCGTTTTCGTTTAGTAGTAAAAAAACAAAATTAGTTAGGCCACGCAAAACTAATTAATTGATTTTCATAACCCAGCAGGGTCAAATTCGAAAGCTTGTAAAAAAAATTTTTTTTTATATGTTTTAATAACCGGTGGGGTTTTAAAAAAAAAATTTATAAAAAATTTTATAAAATTTTATAAAATTTTTGTATATGAATTTTTTTTTTAAAAAAAAGCTGGCCGGTCGGGTTTGTTTAAAAAATTTATGTTATGAAAACTAATAAATTAAAATTGTGTGGCCTTATATAGTAAATTATTATTATTATTATGATTATTATTATTAATTATAATTATTATAATTATTATAATTATATTATTAATTATAATTATTATAATTATTATTATTATATTATTAATTATAATTATTATAATTATTATAATTATTATAATTATTATTATTATAATTATTATTATTATAATTATTATTATTATTATTATAATTATTATTATTATTATAATTATTATAATTATTATAATTATTATTATTATTATTAATTATAATTATTAATTATAATTATTCTTATTAATTATAATTATTCTTATTAATTATAATTATTCTTATTAATTATAATTATAATTATAATTATAATTACAATCATAATTATAAGAATTAATATTAATATTAATATTATTATTTATTCATTATTTATTTATTTCATAAATTCAAAGAAAAAATGTTCATTATAGTGTTCGTTATACATAAAAATATATAAAAATAAAAAGGTTGGTATATAATAATATCCAGAGTTGACTGTATATATTATATTTACAGTCAACTCTCTTTATAACGAACTGATGGTTTTTATAGTAAAAAGTTTCTTATAGAGTAAATTTCTATACTGAACTCTATAATAAATTTTTTATTAAAAAAAAGTTCGTTATGTCCAGAGTTGACTGTATATCCTTTGTTTTATATGTTTATTTTTTTCTGTTTATTTAATTTAAAATTTATCTTTTAGGAAGAAAAGCTACTGGTGGAACTATTCTTCCCGATGGTAAGATGGTAATGTATGGTGGTTGTAATTTGACAAGCTCATCCGATTGTGCGACATCTGATGTTTGGAGTCTGAACATTGGAAGTAATTCTAATAGCGGTGTACCAAGTTCAAATTCTCCAATATGGAGTCAAAAAGGTGAATGTTTAGGTGCAAGAGAAGGCGTTGCAATGGTTAATAACGCCATGATAGGTGTTGTCTCTTACCGTGCTCAAGCAATTTCATTTGGTGGAAAATTACCTGGAAAACTGACTGTTGATAAAGATGGCGAAGTTGGTGTTTTGGATGCCAATGGGGTATTTATTTATTCATTAATTTATTAATTATATATAATCTTATATATTTCATATATAATCTTACATATATTCTTATATATGATTCTTATATCTAATATTATATATAATCTTAAATATAATCTTATATATATTCTTATATATATCCTTATATATATTCTTATATATATTCTTATATATATTCTTATATATATTCTTATATATATTCTTATGTATAACATATATATATATATTATATCTATCTTATATTATATATTATAAATTGTATAGGGCGTCTGGGTGAGAGTTCTTCCCCAAGCTGATCCAAAATATATTTATCCAAAAGTACGTTCTGGTGCTAGAATGGTAGCTGTCGATAATGGTATATCAAATGTGTCTGGTCCTAGCATTGTTATGTTTGGTGGGGAGGGTTTAAATGGTGTCACTTCATTTTATAATGATATGTGGGTTCTTAGCCTTTCTGGTGGTGTCTCAAAGGGTAACCAAACAAATTCTTCTAATATGTCCTTCTTAAAATGTATTCCTCCACCTGATGGCCTTGGTATTCCAGTATCTCCTTCCCCTGCTCCTAACAGTCCCTTTGGTCCTCAATTTGCTAATGCTCTCATCAATATTAATCACGTAACTTTTTCAACCTTAAGCTTTATAATTTTACCTATTGCAACTTCAATAATTAGATTCGGTCATGGCCCTCTTATTGCTGGAATTTATGCTCTTTTCATATTTTCATCCTACGCCTTTTTGATTTATGGTTTTTATATCGTTATGCAACAAGTAAACTCTTCCTCTACTTCTTCCATTAACTCTATTCCAACTTCTCATTTCTCAACTCCTCATGGATTAATTGCCGTGGTCCTATCTGTTCTTCTATATATTGCCGTCCCATTATTAACAATATTTTCATGTATACTTACTAGAAAATTTGGTTCTTATACTTCTGAGACATCATCTAATAATCCTGATTCTGATGATAATAATATTAGTTTTAAAAACAAGTTTGCTAAATTTTTTAATTTAAAAACTTCTGATGATGATGATGATAAACAAACAAAATCTTTCGAAGTTTCACGACCTGGAAATCACAACTTTCAAAGCGACAATCTAAATCATCAAAAGCCAACATCAATGCTTAATAAACCTTCCTCTGATTCATGGCTAGATAAACGAAAAAGTGTAACCATTGCTGAAAATCCATTGGTCTTGAACAATGCTTTACGTAATCTTAATATGCAAAATATTTCTTCAAATTCAAGAAGAACTTCACAAAGTACTTCTTCTTATCATCAGCGTGTAGGTTCAAATAGTACTCCAATTATGACTCCAACTTCTCAATATTTTCATCCACGGCAACATCAAAATTTTCTTGTATTGTTAATTAGACATTTGTACCATATAGTTTATCAAATTATATTACTTTTATTTGCAATATTTTTAGCAAATTCCTTATATACAACAAAATATGTAGATAGGGTTTTCTTTTATTTGTTTTTAATTTTTATGATTATTATATATTTGTGTTGGATTTTATTGGCTTGGGCAGGATATCCAAGAGGTAAAAATAGTTTATTAGTGGCAACAATGAAAAAATTTGGTGGTCGTGGTGATATAGATGAATCAAATGATACAAGTGGTATAGGTAATGATGAATATAGTCAAGCTAGTGGAAGTGAATTTGGTGGTGGTGGTGGTACAGATAGTAGATTTAATAGTATAAATGGTAATAGAGCAAATTTACATGATGATGAAATGAGTGAAGAAGCTAAACAAGCTGAACTTGAACACGAAATTACTAACAGAGAAGTTGTTGTTATGACGATACCAAAAAGAAGATTAACGGTTGTTAATGCTTGATTGATATATATATATATATATATATTTATATATTGGTTTTTTTTTTTTTTTATGTATAATGCTAATTATTATTTATCGTTAGATTTACTTTCCAAAAAAAAAAGATTTTGTTTGTTTTTCTTCTTTTTCTTTCTTTATTGAAGGGGTTTTGTTTAATAATATTAATATAGTAGCAATAGGATTTCTTTTTTTCTTTTTTTTTTTATTGAATCATTATTCCGAAAGGAACAAAACAAAAATAATAATAACAAAATGTAACAAAACTTGTATTTTATCTCTAAAAAAAAAAAAATTTTGCTTAAAAAAATAACGTTATTTGTTTTTATTATATATATACATTTTTTTAAAAAAAAATTATTTAAACATATTGTATTTCATATTATAGTGTATAATACTGTATATATTTTCAAGTCAATCCAATTATTCAATTATTCAATTATTCAATTATAATTCAATTTATATCACAATTTATATCTATCACAATTTCTATCATGGATTTTGAAAACCTAAAATTTGAACTTTTTATATCTGACCCTTGTCTTACCCTAAAACTGCACCCTAACCCTAAAAATAGAGGTGGTGATGATTTGTATCAATTCTTATACGTATCATAATACTGTAATTACAAAAGTATTATCATTATCGTTATGTATGTAGATATTACAATCACATTATTTCATTATTATCACATGCTAATGCTAAAGAATATTTCGAGTACATATTTGAATATCAGCCAATTATATGCGGATAATATGATAGCCAATGAAAAAGAACTTCAATCATTGCTATAAAATTCATTAACTTAAATTCGCTGGTTAAAAAATTCCGTGACTAATTTACTTTGTTTCGTAATTACTTTGTTCGTAATTTTAGAATGGTTAAAGTAAAGACTCCAGGACGTGAAGCGTATCGGTGAGCATTCGACTTAGATTCACTATCAATACGTCCCCTTCGTACAACAGGGATTTATACTTGTAAAAATGATTTTTTTGAACTTTTTTTTTTTTTTTTTTTACTCTCAGACATACCCCTATAACAAAGTTTTTTCCTCGAGCTCCCAACTTAAATAAAAGGTAGCATTCGATATAAAATAGTCAAGAACAATAATATGGTTTTTACTTATGATAATTTTTTTGCTTCTCTCTACTTTGTTCGTATTGTTTAGTAACGCGACTGAAGACCCAAAAAACATACCGAGGAAAACTGAAAGTTTTGATTCTTCTCAAGATGATTTATGTGTTACTCCGCCTCATCGTTGTAAACCTTCTAGTGAAAAAGCCAAAGAGATTTATCATTCTTTTACTTCAAGCGTAGACGATTCGGATGATGATAAATTGCAAAATATTCCTGATGTGTGTGATATGATCTCTTGTATCTTGTATCTTTTGTATTTTAATTATTTAATTTCGATTTATTAATAAATTCTTGTTTTCATCGAAAAGGTTATTGAAGACGATGATGATGATGATCTTTTATCATCAACCGATCTTGAATTGGCTTTTTCAGAGAAATTGTCAAGCAAGTTATTTGAGAGAAGTGAAAGGTTCACCTTGATTATTTTTTTTTTGTATAAATATATGGATGATACTATATAAATCAATTAATTACCAAAAAAAAAAAAAAAAAACAATTTTTCCTTTAGTTCTCAAAGTGACGAACCTACATTACGTCGAAGTACACGTTCTAGAAAACAAGTTTCATTTCAACAGATGTTACCAACTGTTGAAGCTATCCCACTTCGTGGTGAAATTCCTTGTGTAAATAGTTCTGCTTCCACTTCAACAAATTCAAATATTTCCGCCAAGAAATATCAATTTTCATTATCCTCTCTTCTTCGAGAGAAGAAACATCGTGATAAAGTTGGTTATAATATTCGTGTTGCAGAATCTACAATCAATGGAGATGTTAATATCTTTTTAATGAAGTATTCATTGTTAAATGATGTTTTTATTTTATATATTAATCTATATATTAATCTATTGTTAAATCATTCATCATAATTATTATTATTGTTATTTTTTTTTATTTTAGTCCCTTTGTGAATTAGATGATCCATTTGATGTCTATGATCGTACAGAAATTTCTGCTGCAATATTGAATGAAGATATAAAACATGAACATCTACAACAGGTTTTTATTGATAAATTGAATTTATTAATAATTTGGAAAATTTCATAAGTGACTTAATTAATTTTCTTAATTTAGATTTTTAAAGAAGATGAAAGTGATGATTTAGATCAACAAATGGAATTTTTCATTGATAATAATACAGTAAAGTTAATTATAAATCTTCATTAATAATCCAATAATTTAAACATTAATATTTACATAATTTCACGTGCTTAACAGGAGATGCCAAGTCCTACTTTGCAGACTACCATGCAAGCGTTGGATGATCCTGCATTTGCACTAATATCCGGTTCATCTTCTGGTATTTAGATAAAAATAGGGGGCTACCTAAAGCACGATGCAGTCGCGTAACTAAGAGCCAATCAAATCGTAAATTTTTTATTAGCTCAAATATATATTTTTAATAATTTAACATGACTGCATCTAACTTTAGCTATTCCCTTGAAATAACTGTCTTTATTATAATTATTATAAATAGTAAAAATTTGACATACGTAGTTTAACTTGGTTGTTTAGACGATGAAACCCTAAAATATATCCTATGTCAAAATTGGATTCCACAACAATATGAACTTGGAATGAAATTACCACCTGAAACTATTTCGTGGCTATTAGAATTAAGTAAATATCACGTTCGAATTTTTAAATTTAATGTTAAAATATCTCGATTAAGAAAGGGTACGATTTTTTTAATTTAGTAAGCTATGGAGAGGATACAATTATAATAGAAGCAGCTTCCCATACTTTGAAATGTCTCGCTGAAATTAGTGTATTTATCAAAGCTTTTTCTTTTTTTTTTATATTCTAACAAAATTTGATTATACATTTATATCTTACGTCAGAAATATATATATATAATCTTTCAAGGGCCGGTACAGTATAAATACGACCGTTGAACCCACCAGTGTACCATTTTCATCATTATATCAAATATTGTCCGCGTTTGGTGCGCCATCACAAATGCTAGAATATCAATGTTTTTTGGAAGAACAAACGAAATCATCTTTGCCATTTGGTATTATGTGAGCTTTCTAAAGTCTTTTTTTTTTGTTAATGTAGCTATGACTTAAAAAAAAAAAACTTGTTATATATTTCTAATATTTTAGAGCCATCATCCAAATTTTCTTATATTTATAATCTACAAGTTCTTTTGAAAACAATTGTACCCTTAGTTAAAAACAGGTTAGCATACGTGTACTTTGGAAAAGATTGAATTAATTTGTAATCAATTATAAATATTTCATTGTATTCCACATTATAGATTGTTATCATTCTCTGATTATGGAGAAATAAGACAAGCGATATATGTTGTCCTTCGCATGTCTTTGGATAGGCGCATTTCTTTGATATCTAGTTATATTGAAAGAACAGTTGACTCATTTTTAGATCTTTTCAAAGAAGACGATTGGGGTTCTCAGGTATGAATAATAAGTATAAATGTTAGTATAAACACATTTATGTAATTAATAATTGATTAAATAAATTAACATGTAAATTTTATAATTATATAATTAGGCAAAACTAATTTGTGAAGATATCGTTTCAGCATGTGGTACAATAACAAAATTTAATGCTGTTACGTTAGATAATTTACCTATTTCAATTCGTGGTCGTTTATTAAGAAGACTTTTGGCATTTAAATCTCTCTTCACATTAAGTTCAATAACTTGGGATATAACTACGGTTAGGCTTTTGTTATGTACAGGCTTTATCATTTTGTATCCTTTTAAATTTTTGGCTAAATTGATTTTACTTAATGTAGATCGATGTAACAAAACCATTATCATTAGAACCACTTTTATCGTTCTTTAACGGTGAAGAGTCGATGTTTAAAATTCAGATTAATACAAACTATAATGAGTTGTACTATAAAGTATTATTGCTTAATTTTGCTATTGATGATGAAAAACAGATGACATGTGAAAAGGTATGAGAAAAATTTTTTATTAACAATGTCAAAGATTATCTTTATTGTAAATGCTTATTATTATTTTATTGTTATTTTAAGAATATTGTTGAAGAGATTATACAAAAATTAAAGTATTTGCACGGAAAAATAGGTAAAAGAATTTAGAAATCACAAGCAGATCTCAATAAAATGATAATTATGTTTTGGTTGTAGACATTTTGTCGTTGTTATAATTTTAATTTCCTTTGTTTATATTTTAGTGGATATGAGGGCCGCTTTCATGGATCGAACAAAGGTAAGGAATCGAAATCTTACTAAAATAAGTAACTCTAGCCTACGCTGTACCATCTTGCAATAATCATACATGCAAAAAAGAGTGCTTATTTTTGGAACTATATGGCATTTATTTTTGTTCACATCTCATTAAACTCATATTCTGAACTTGACTATTTTAGGCGAAAGATCTTATACACAGACTTTATATGCGTCTTTATTATGTGACTAGCCACCGTCGTGGTAAGACGCAAGCGAGCATACTCGAATATAGAGGTTGGAATCGAATATTCGAATAACTGAATATTCGAATCAATTCGTATTAAGTATGAATTTGAAATTGAATATTCAAAACCATTATCCAGCTATTATAAATCCGTTACATTACCTTTACATAGTCATTACAAAACCATCATTATAAAATGTTATAAGATTATACGCAATTATTTTTAGTCGTTATACAATTATACATCCATTATATATTACTGTTATACTGTTAGACAACAATTGCACTACTATATAACAGATTTGTTAAACAACACAATAATAATAAGTTGCAATATAAAAAGTCGCTATAAAAAAGCTACGTCACAAGTAACTATTAAAAATGTAAACTATTATCGTTATGACATTTATTCTTCATAAAGTTTGAAATTGAGTATATTCAAGTTGACAGAAGTCAATCCGGTTAGATTCAAGTGTTGCTGCAGATAATTTAAATATCGTGCGAACGAGCACGTGAAACAAATAGGTATAATTTAATTAATTGCCTAATGAAGTAAATGGATATTTTAAATTTTCAATGAATAATGCTATAATGGCTATACCATCGTTATTGTCACGATGAAAATCGGTTATTCGGTGAAAGTTGGTGCTCGTAATATGTTGTATGTAGATAACAATTGAAAAAAACCTGAAATTGAAAAGAAGGGTTAACACTAAAAATTAAAATGTGAATACATATCGCTTTGGGCTGGTTCGAAGTCCCGTGATCAATGTATACTTGTTGGACGAATCCAAAACCTTTAAAAAATAATAGGTACATATTTATAAAAAATTAAATCAAACAAATAATCTTAAAATGTTACAAATATATTGTTTATTATTATAAGAAAATATTTGATTTATTTAATTAATAAAATTTTTGGGTTTGTAAAACTATTAATTATTTAAAATCTGCTTAATTTTTTTATGAACAACTCTAATTTTTTTACAATTTACTTAAAAGTAAGGTAATTTTTTATATAATCTTTATGGTATCTTTTAAACTGTCAATTTAACTACGTATTTACTACGATTTAAACTACAACTCAATATAATTTGATAGCTTAATCACAAATTAATTATAAAATTTTTAGGCAGATTTATCTAAAAAACAGTTTAAGAAATAATGAATTTTTATATAATTCTTTGAAGCATAGCAGAGAACATTATTTTTATGCAATATCTTAGCAATATCCAAAGTTTCCAATTTGGTTTTACATTACATATTTTTGCATATTTCTGTATTTACAATCTATTAAATAAATCAACTAAGTAATAAAAAAATTATCAAATATATTAATTAATTGCTTTGAAAATTTATTAGCTTTTGATATTCTAGTGAATAAAGGTTTATGTAATTTGTGTGTTTGCATTGCAATGCATTTATTTGATTAATAAATTAAATTGTAAAATTAGATGTAATATGAAATCAAAAGAAAATAATAAATTTTTTAAAAATTACATATAGTTCATAATTTTGTTTATAAAAATATTTTTTATGTTTTAATAAAAAAAACTTTTCAAAATTTTAATACAAGAATAGTTTTGACTATTACTTAATTTTAATTTATTTTAATTTTGGTTTTTATTTTATTTTTTTTTTTAACTATCCCCAATGCATTACATCATGGGGCACATGTGGCACTCTAATTTTCTTTATTAACTTTAATGTTTGGAACCTACAGGTTTACATATTTAGTTGCTACATACATCACCAATGGTGTTTCCTAGCCCCACCATACCACATTATTAACAAGTTTATCACTATTGTAATAACCTAGGACCCTGGCCTCATACTGTAGGACTTCTTACTCGAGTCCACAGTTTTCTATCAACAATGGTCCTTTCAGGTTCCATCTCCTTATCTTTATTGCTTTTTACGATAATTTTCTAATTTGGGATCCTTATGTTATCGACATTTCTTGTTAGATTATCTCCTTATCTAGGCATTGTATAACTCTGTGACTATGTCACTCGACTTGTTCTTACTGTAGTACTTTGTCTGAAATTAGAAGTAGACAATCTTCATAGATCATTCATTCTTGTAATATTCTTGTTCGAAAATAGAAATGAGAAATCCTCTTAAGATCATAACAATCATGGTTCTGGTACAGCTTTTTCCTCCAGTTGGAATTGAACTGGCAACCTTGCGAATGTAACCTGGGAGTGCTAACTACCGCACTATTGACCTACAGGTCTTGGTTTTTATTTTAAATTAATGTATTAATTAGTTTGTTTTGATTTTATAATATATTTGATTTTATAGATGCATTATAATATATATATATAAAATAATAAAATTTTAAATATAAATAAAAAAATATAAGATATATTTAAAGGTTTTAATAAAAAAAAATATTTAAATATTGTTAAATAAATAAAAATGTTTCTTAAATTGTTATTCTTTAAGCAGTAAGTTTAAAGTTCAAATTTTACTAGTAACAAAATTTTGAAAAATTAGTTTTTTTTTAGTAACTTATTCATAATTTAAGGTTTGTAATTTTGTAATTTTAGTTATACTAAAATTGTTTTTTTAGTATTAAGGTGACCTCTTTGGTCTTTTGATTTTTATTAACAACTTATTGGTAATGTGATTCTATAAACCACTACAGAAGAGAGTACAATTGGTTACATGTATAATTTTCTATATTAATTATTTAAAGAGTTTATCTGAAGGTTCTTCACCAATTGCTATTTCTAACACCCTTGCTTGGATGTTTCACTTTAAACTCTCTGAACCTATAACTTGTATTAACTCATTAGGTCATAATCAGATGTCCAGATTATTGTCTCAATCTTAGAACTAATTTATCTTCAAGATAAATCTCCAGAGCCTTCTGTATCTATTTTTACAGCTGATCTAGATATCACTATAACAGAACTAACACTTGTAATTAAGGCTTAACTATTAAACTATTATGTTTTTGTAGAGTTTACACAGACTCTAGTATCTACTTCACAGCATAATCTTAGTACTTTAGTATATTTCTGCCTTTTGTCTAGTTTTTTTTACTAAAATTCCAATCCAAATAGCCTATATAGGACTATAATTAGTTTATTGATATATCAGATTAGCCTGATATTCTTTATTCTGATAGCCTGGTTGGTGGTATTTTTGAGATTTCCAATTTAGAGCTTTTTGCCTATTTGACTACTATAACTGAGTACTATGACCTTAGTATCTGTTTCTTCTAGCTAGCCTTTACAATAGGGCTATTAAAAATCTGACTACCTTTTTATTCAGGTTTTTTCAAATAAACTTCTTGTTGCTCAATTTTAACAAATTTACATAGTCACAAGAACTTATCTAGTATTTGCATTGCCTGATTTGTCAGTTTGCATTTTTTGTGTAACAAGTTACACAAATGCCTTATAACCTGCCAGTCATGCTGATGCAGCTGCCATTACAAGTATCCTAACCTAATCAATAGTAACAGTTATCATAATATAAATATTATATAGATAATTATTCAAATTTTTGCTATTAATAGGATTTAAACATCCAATCTACTACTTGGGAGGTTGACAACCTGACCACTTTACTAGGTTACCACATCCTTTAATTATATTAAGATTAATTTTAAAAGTATGCAATATTATGTAAATAAATCTAAAAATATATATTTAAATAAAAAGTTTACTTAAAAATTCTAAGTAAAATAATAATATAACTTTTAAATTTTTTTTTTAGTGACTTCTTTGGTATATTAACTTTTATTAATATTTGACAGATAACATGTTTATATTATAAACTAATACAAAAAAGTATCTAATTAGTTACATATATAATTTTTTAATATTATTTAATTAAAAAATTTATTTAAAGATTCTTTACTAATTATTATATCTAATATCTTTGTTTGGATGTTTTATTTATTTTATTTTTTTCAGTATTAAGGTAACCTTTTTAGTTTTTTGACTTTTTATTAATACTTATATTAGATATTTTTATATAGATATATATTTATATTAAACTATTACAAATAAGTATACAACTGGCTATATGTATAACTTTTTTATATTACCTATTTAAAGAGTCTACTTAAAAGTTCTCTACTAGTTGCTGTACTTAACACTTCTTTTTAGATGTTCTATTTAAATTTTCTAATCTGCAATCTTGGTATTAACTTTATTAGGTTACTTGACTTAGATTCTTTTATCTCAATCTTAGAACTATAATTTTTAGACTATTTTTATCCTTAAGGTAAATCTACTAAAGTAAACTATATTTCTTTTTACTACTAACTTGGTTTAACATTATGGCTAAAATCAATACTTGCATTTAAAGTTATTTATTAAACCACTTTTATTCTTGTAAAGTTTATCCAAATTCTAATATCTATTTGTCTTTTTGATATCTTCATTATTATCTTTTATTGACTGCAACTCAAAACTAACAGATTCTTTAAACTTTTAATTCAGATGACCTATATAGTATACTTATATATCTTTTTTCTTTAGTGATTCTAACAACCTGGTTGGTTATATGCTTTTTTATACATCTTGTCATCTAGTTTATCTGACAATTTCTATAAAAGTATTTTATAAGCTTTTATTAATTCAATAGCATTATTAAAAGTTTGTACTATTTTTTTACTCAGAATTTCCAAGTAGGCTTCTGTTTTCTCAGTTTCTTAGTCTTCTATGCCTAGTGGTCTTATTATAGATTTGCATCAAAGTCTTATATAACATCAGTTTTTTATCTTAAGTAATTTATTTTAAATCTTCTATT